TTCATGACGTTATTAGTGCCATTAAAAATGACTTGTGAAGGAGAGTCAATCTGGCAGAATCATAAACTTTGCTCGGCCGCATATTGTCGTCATGTACAGTTCACTTTTGTTAAAGAAAGTAAAGCAGTGGTAAAGGAAGAAGAAAAAGAATAAAAAATGAAATAGCAGACCTGAGGCCATCAAAATTTGACAGCAATATAATTGAACACAAACTTACGCTAACCATGATAGATGGCAAGATTTGCACTTACCTATCAGAGGCAAAATCCTCAGCTACATGTTATCTTTGTTTAAAAAACCTTCACAAATGAACCAGTTGGCAGAAGTTAAAGAAAAACCAATATCATATAATATGATGGATTTTGGTCTTTCTACACTCCACGCACGCATAAATATGATGGAGTGCCTCTTGCACATATCGTATAGACTGGACTTTAAAAAATAGGCTGCTAGAGATGCTGATCGAGTAACCATAAAACTAAGGCAGCAGATGATTAGAGACAGATTCCAAAAAGAACTTAGTCTCTTTATAGACATGATCAAACAAGGTCACGGAACCACCAATGATGGGAACACGGCAAGAAGATTTTTTGAAAATCCGAAAAAACTGTTGACATAACGGGGCTTAATGAAGACCTTATCTGCAGATTCGCTGTACTTTTACAAGATATAACGTCTGGTGAGCATATAAATGTAGAAAAGTTTAAAAAATATTCATTAGAGACGGCTGAGAAGTTTGTGGAACTATATGGTATGGTATCATTCGTTATTAACTTTTTCTGTCCTGCTTTTAATTTATTTTTTTTATTTTTAAAATTGTAGTTATGTTTTGACAAGTCACTTTGCTTGAAAATCTTTCCATGCAAATTTCAACCCCCACGTTGGACATTTACGGGACGATTTTCGTAAAATCCTTTCTTAGCGCTCATCAAAAACAGTATTAGAAACTTTTACGCAAAATTTCAAACCTCTGGTTCCAGTGGTTAGGGATTATTAGTTATTATAGTATCGGGTATACTCGTATTAATCGGAACAATTTGGATGTGCAAATCGCTATATCTCTGAAACTATGGCTCGTATGAAAAAAGTACGTATAGATGTTTTATAGGCAATTTCATGATCTACAACTTCGTCCTAGTCAACTTTTTGATAAAGCTAACCATTCCGCTGAAATACGCGAAAAAGTAATTT